GCCTTATCGGTTTCGAGTGCCGAAGAGGCCGATTTGCCTTTGTTTGCTGCTGCATATAATCCTTGAATATCATAAAAATTCAAAGGCATACCAAATTCAGGTTGTTTAGAAGAAGAAGCAACACCCGATTGATTCCCATCGGTTGTTTTCCCTTCCAACTTATCAAAACGAGCCATGATCATATTCATTGCAGCTAAAAGGTTATTATCTATTACTTTCTTATGATCATCCATTATAGTAGCGTAATTGGCATGCATAGGATAAGGATCAACAATATCATCATACTTGGGTTCCTTGGTCCTTACCTCAGGTGCAGCAGGTGCAAATGACATAGAAGTGATCAACTCGCTGAAGTCTGGCTCCTTGTACTAGGTGACCTTATCCCACCGATCTTTAGTGCAACTCTGAAGAAAAGCCCTTAGAACGGTGTTGAACTTGGCCTCCACTTGCTGCTTCAGCTCCTCAGGAAGCTCATCAACGGTCTCGGGATGATTGATATTAGCACCATGAGGGACGCTAGTCCTGTCGCCCTTCTCACCTGCATCATCACCGTTGCTTCCCATGTCGACCTTAGATTGAACCTTGGATTGCTTCGCTTTTCCCAGTGGAGTCGCTAAAAAGTATGTTGACGTTGAAGGTGATCCCAAGCCAACACACCAAAAGGGCCTTGGATGCCCAAAGAGGTTGCACGCAACCTGCAACGCAGCAAGAACGCGGCGTAATCGATCAAACCGATCTAGAGACCAATGAGACCGATGTAGAGCCCGTTCTCGGCTGTAAAAGCTCTCGAACTTCTCCCGGGAAGACCCGTCGTGGAGGAGCACGTGGAGGATCTCCTAGTACCAACAAGGCCGCCTAGGATGCCGCTGAATCTCGCCGGGAAACTCAACGAACAGCAGGAGGGGTTGAGAGAAGAGAATTAGGGCAAAAGGAGTTCATATGTTGTGTTTTTGACGATTGGATAGATGGGATCTCAATCGGCCATGATCCTCTCATATATATAGAGAGGGTGGTCTTATCCGAGTATAAAATCTCTCCAAGCCTTATTTTTCAAGTTTTCCACGAGTTTGGAATAGTTCGGATCGGAATCCAAAAGGTCAGATCCGAACAGGGTTTTTTGTTAGGTATGTCGGAAGTCCCGACTTGGGTAAGAACTTCCGACATGGGAATAACCCCAGACACCCGAGTAGATTTCTTCAGGCTTCCCTGAAGTCCCGACACCTATCAGAATTTCCGACAGTCGGAAGTCCCGACTTGGGTCGGAACTCCCGACAACGGAGCATCTTTTCGGGGTATAACTCTTTCATCCGGACTCCGAATTAGACGTTCCATATATGTTTTTGACCGTCTCGACGAGAGGAACGCAATGGTGAAGTCCGTTCCATATTTTGACAACTTCATAAAATGGACAATTTTGGTTGTTAACAGGTTGTTCCCTAGGAAAGAATTGAGCAACGGACTTTGGGTTTGGTTGATGACAAAGCCTGCCTGGACTTGTCTGATGCTATTTGTGAAGGAGGAGTGGCAGAGCTATACACAGGAGAAATTAATGTTGATGAAGAGTCTCAGGATGGAGCTGCTGACCCTAGTGACTTTGAGGAATACTTGGGAAAATCTATGCGTGAAGGCCCCCCTACCTGGCAGTGAAGGCCCCCCTACCTGGCAGTCTGGTACGCACCAAGGGAAAGAGAGAGAGTGCGTGTGTGAGAAAGAGAGAGTCAGGTTATTGCAAATAGCTAGCTAGCTAGCTAATAGTTCATTGCTAACAGCAACGGTTATGAGGAGAGATCATCGAGTGTGTGTGTGTGAAAGAGAGTCAGAAAGAGGGGTAGCAAATTGCTATGGGCTCGGGCTGTATTTAACTCGCAGTTTCCTTTGAACGGCAGGGCACCAAGGGAAGTTCGGCCCAGACCATGAAATTTGTATTGTCCATTTGTACCCAATTCATGCCATCGTGTCGCCGGCTGTACCCAATTCTTTTTCTGGCTTGCTTGCTAGGATTGCTAGGATTTTGAGTCAGACGGCAATGGCGGCCGCGGCGACTCCCATGCCAGATTGTCTTGCGGCCGGTGAGCCTGACGACGACCCGGGGGTATTTACCCTATCCTTGTTGTTCCGTCGACGCTGACCCCGGCTCCCTTGTTCCCGTTATGGCGAGATGGATCGCAGCAGCGGCGCGGCTAGCTCCCTTAACGCGACCCCCCGCGCCGGCGAGAAGCGACAAGGACCGGTCCGGACCACCGGCGCCCTGCTTCCGTCGAGCTGGCCGCGTAGGACCCCAGCGCAAGGTACATGTTCTCTTGCCCATCCCTCCTTCACCCCCTTCGTTAGGTGATTGAAATGGATAGATCTGTGTATGTATGAATGACAGTTCGAATTAACTTCAGTAAAGGCTTTGAAATGTATTGTGTTTCTGTGCATTTTTCTTCGGCTCAACGGCACCGTACTTCGCAGTGGCATTGATCCTGAACAGTCGAGGACTGACGGATGTTGAACATTTGTCTAACTAGAGCTTCATACTGAGCCTTCCCAAACCTATCTAGGACCAACTGACAAAAATCCTTCCATGGTAACCTCTTAACCCGTGGATCCAGATATTGCAACCAACGGGCCACGGCAGATGAATTGACGAAATTCATTGTCGCGCACTTAATCCACACCTCTGGCTCTACCAAATACAAATCAAAGTAGTCCTCACACGAAGTGATCCACAACTTAGGATTTTCACCATCAAATTTTGGAAAATTCATTTTGGGAATTTTTTTTGTCTGTGTGGTTAGTCTCCCAAGGCAGACGTGGGTCATGGTGACCACGTCCCCCATGCCAGTCGCCGCGATCACCACTGGTGCTCCCCAAACCCGCCGTCACCAGAGCCGAACTAGACAGTGAACGAAGCAATTTGGGCAGGGGAATGGGGTGGGGATGCAACTGCGTACCCTTGACCGGGGAATCAAGTTCCAAACTCTTTCCCCGGTGACTTGATTCAACGCCGTGCCCTAACGGGCGGATGATGGAGCTGCCGGCCGTTGCTGGCGCAGGGAACACGAGCAATGGCGGCAGAACTCCAGTTGAGGCCGCGGTAGTGGACTCGAGCGCGGTGCGGCAGACGGTCTTGCGAAGAGCAGTCATCTCGGAGCGGATCTGCTCCATCGTCTCGTCGTCTTGCGGAACGCGCCGATCTCGGCGCGCATCTCCTTCAACGGCGAGTCCACCTTGGGCTTCCAAGTGTCGAGCACCTGGGCGGCACTCTCCAGTTTGTCGAAGCGACCCACGATGGTGTGCTCGACAGAGTCGACCCGGGAGGACAGCCTGGAGTCGATGTTGGCGATCGAAGTATGCACGACCTTGATCTCGTCCAGGAGCAACTTGAAGTTGGGATCCATGGCGCCAAGCTCTTTGCGGAATCTGGTGAAGTGTTCGTGGGCGATTTGGTGGGGCTCCAGTGTGGATTGCTCACGCCGTCACCGCCGATCACACTAGCCTCGGCTCGGACCTATGGGATTTCGACAGACCACCTAAGCGAACCGGAAATCGACCTGCCGACAGGGGTTACGGTGCCAGATCAAGTGGGTGGTGGGGAGGATTGATGGAGAAGCCCGCGGAATCGAAGGCTCTGGTACCAATTTGTTATCAGCAGGGGAAGGGAATCGGAGGATCGGAGCTAGGCGGAGAAGAAGCAAAGCAAGGGCGAGGAACAGACGACGAATCTTAGTTCATAGGAGAGTTTGTTACATCGATGTTCATGCCCCTTCCCCAAGAAGGTACTCGATACATATAGGAAACACACACACGCTACTGTCTTCTGCCTTCTGCCTTCTCTTCACTTGCTCTGCCAGGCCGGGCCGTAGTAACGTGGGTTCAGCACCCTGGGCCTTGGTCCCTGTAGCCCATCAGGCAGCGACGCTGTTGTCGGATCTGGATCTGACGGAGCGGCAGCGGAGGCTGATGCAGACTCATCGTCTTCAGTAGCCGGGGTGCTGACAGTTTTTCTCTCATTGCATCACCTCTGTCCTTGTGGGCTATTCAGTGAAAGGGACAGCATAAATCTCCCAATTAAATGAGCGACGTGCTATTATATTTGAGGCCTCATTATATTTGCATTTGCAACTCTTAGATAAATGGCCAGAAATCCATTGACTGTGTAGTGGTCTATAGTCTTCTAGGATTATTAGGCAGCCATCCTTTGATAGATCCTTCGGGTTATCAGAACAAAAAATAGCAATGTGGCCTCACGAAAGGCACTGGAATGAACCGGCTCTAGAGGGAAAAGATTTTATTTTTCATAAAAAATCTAGAGACACAAGCTATGGACACTGTGCATTGGGATAATTGTTTCTTTGCATGTGTTTCTTGAATTTTCTATATATCCTGTAGGAATTTAAGTAAATTCTGTACATCATTCAGAGTGAGCAAGCAAAGCAAGCACGCTCAACTCAGTAGCGGATTTCGGCCATGGGCTGCTGGCGCTGCAGCCCAAGTCCTAAAGAAAAAACAAAACCAATGTATTCAGGTGCCTGGGACAACAATCTAATACAACCAATTAGTACCATTGAAAGCACAACTCACAAAAGACAATTCACAATTTTTTCTATAGTCAAACAATGACAATATTACCTATTACCAGAACAACCACAAAAAATCAGGCACCTGAAATATAGGAGAAGTTCTTAAACATTGTGAAAATGAAAGATTATCAAAAGATTACAGCTAGTTTGACTGAATCAACCCCAGCTTGCAACTGAGCACACTAGACAATTTTTAGCATAACTTTGTTATCCGCCCCGACCAATGTAAATCAGGTGCAGGTGGTTATTAAATGCTTCGTTCTAGTATACTACCAAAGTACGAAGTTGCTAGGAAGATGGGCCCTCCTCTTTGTATACATATACAAATATAAACCACTGGACCTATCCTTCGCTGTGTACATGTACTTGGCTGTGCCTACTACCCAGTTTAGGCCGGCCGCAAACAACATAGCATCGATGCACAAGCCACACACAATGGACCCCCAATTGCTCAAAGCTGTCTCCAATGGCGACGCAGACCTCTTAGCACAAATCCTATCCACGACAACAATAGCTGAGGAGAGCCGCTGCGCATGCCTAGAAGGCGTCACAGCGGAGGGCAGCTCTGCGCTCCATATCGCAGCCCGCCATGGGTACCTGAAGCTCGTCGAGATGATCTGTGATCAGGACATATCACTCATCAAGGCAAGGAACAATCTGCTCGACACGCCTCTGATCTGCGCGGCAAGGGCTGGGCATGTGGATGTGGTGGATTGCCTCATCCAGCTTGCTTCCACCCAGCGAGATACTGAGTATGTACTGAGGGCATGGAACTCCAGTGGCGCGACGGCGGTCCATGAGGCTGTTAGGAATGGCCATGCATCCGTATTGGGGAAGCTCGTGTCGGGGGACGCAAGGCTTTCCGCGGCGGTTGATGGGCAAGGTGTCTCCCCGCTCTACATGGCGGTTGTGTCCAACCAGGCTGACATGGTTGACATCTTGATACGTGAATCTCGTGAAGGTAGTGTGAAATCGCCGGCGAGCTACGCTGGACCAGATGGACAAGCAGCACTGCATGCTGCGGTTTTTGCTGGAAACGGTATGGTAACATGAATTCTTTCCTACACATTCGCTACATGCCATATCAGTTTTGTGTTTATTATGTATATACTTTATTTTTTTATCTTTGATCTTTTGTGCTACTGTCATATACAAAAACAGAGGTATAGTACGAGACTGGCATGGTATTTTCTTATATTAATAGAAAATGCTTTTGTAGACTTGGTAGTGTTTTGTGTCTACTCCCTCAACTCCACTTTCCTCAGTTTGAAGCACAGTGTAATAAGGGCCTGTTTGGTAGTCCTCTTTTTGTTCCTCATTCTGTGTGTAGTTATAAACAGAAGTTAGTTTCTGTTCAGCTCCTAGCTTCCTATATTATTTGAGAGAATCGGCATAGAATCATTTCTGTGTAATATACTGTTTGGCAGAGCTCCTCCGGGATTCAACTCTAAGAGCTCTCCCAAACAGGCCTCAAGTGTTCTCGTTTACTGTAGTGATTATCTTTTGTTTTTTTTTTAGCCCAAGAAATGTGCGAGTCCCTGCAACGCTGGGAGTCAACACTTGCGCAAAAGGCTGACAGATCTGGAAGAACTGCCCATAATTTTCCAAACGGGCCAAGCCCGCTGGGCCGACACGGGCATGGTACGATTTGGCCCGGTCCGAAAACGGCCCTGCCCGGCAGCTAACGTGCCCGTGCCTGGGCCGCGATGCCAGCACGATGGCACGGCATGGGCACGGCCCGCTTCATCGGGGGCGGCACGGCCTCGAGCCGTTGGATGGAGCCCCCCCCCGCCTGCTGACCGTTGGATCTAGGGTCGGGTGGGACGGCTTTATAAGCCAGCCGCCGCGGCGCCGCTCCTGGCTCGGAGCCTTTCCAAACCCTATCTCATTCCGTCCCCTGTCCCCACTCCAGCGGTCCAGCCGCATCGAGCTCTCCGCCTCTCCCATCGACTGAAACCCTAGCATCTCTCCTCTCTTCTTCCCGCCGTCCTGTGGCTGGTTAAGGCGGCGGCTGCTGGCACGGGCACACGGCACTTCTACACCACTCTTCCTTCTCCCTGACCGTCGATGTAGCTTTCTCGTCGAGATCCACCACCGTTCGTCTTCGTCTCTGTCTCGTCGATCTCATCGACGTCGCCGGAGTCCGGCATCATTGGGGCTCCGCTCTGATGCGTTGAGGTACCAGGGTGTCGGGTCTCCACGACATCGTCGTTGCCGTTGTCTCTGGGGCTCCATCAAGAAAGGTGAGCCGTAACCCTAGATCTGTTTGTTTTTGTTCTTCTTCTTGATTTCTTCATGATCTTCTATTAACCCTAGGTGTTCTTATTGTTCTTGGTTTTGATAGGCGTTGGCGTTGAGGGACCGGAGTCCTTGACGCCGTCACCATGGAGTCTTTCAGCAGGTAAGGGGTCAGTTCCGGTTGCTGATGGTCCCCTCTTCTCCCTCTCCGCCCTCAATCTCCCTCTTCTCCCTCAGATCCGGTGGTTCCCGCCCTCAATCTCCATCTGTTCCCTTATTCTTCATCCCTGAACGTCGATTGAGCCTCGTTCTCGGCATCCTCGCCGCATCTCCGTCATCTGTCCGTCGTCCACATCGCTGGCTGCCGCCACCTCCGGGGCTCCGGTCTCCGTTGAGGTACCGGGGGTGTGCAATCGGTCCGTCTCATCGTCGTCGTTTACGGGGCTCCGGCCGTAGAGGTAAGGGTAAACCCTAACCCTAACCCAAACCCTAATCCCCAACCTAACCCTGCTTTTATCTGTTGATTGTGGCAGCCGTCGAGGAACCGGAGACGGCAGAGATGGCCCCAGGCGCCGGGCGACACGACGACGGGGAGTTTGACCACTCCCAGAACGACGAGCTGCGTATGTGCGGGATGGCCGGAGATGATGAGGACGATGATGTTCGCGAGGACGCTGCCGTGCTCTTCGGCCGTTCTGCTACTGATCCCCTTCCCGTCGATGACTCCGACCCCCTAGTCGACATGGCTGATGCCGACGGTGGCTAGAGCGAGGTTAGCCCTGTCGGTTCTAATCGCCCTTCCACGTCTGCTGTCTGGGAGGACTTTGAGAAGCACTACAAAACTAAGAAAGGTAGAAAGATCAGGTTTGCTGCCACTTACCTTCATTGCCATAAGCGTTACTCTGCTTATTCTGCTCATGGCACTGGGCATCTTACTCGACATCTTGCTAAGTGTCCTAAGAAACTTGAGAAGACCCGGGGCATGACTCAGACTCATATTGCTTTTAATTCTGCTGGTTCTGTTCGTCATTGGGAGTACAGTGCTGAGGTAGCTCGTGTTGAACTTGTTCGTATGCTTGCTAGATTGGACCTACCTCTTATGATTGGTGAAACTGAGGCATTTAAAGATTATATTAAAACTGCTCATAACCCTAATTTTTCACCTGTCTCTAAGCAAACCACTGGTAGAGATCTGTTTAAATACTACAATGAGAAACATGATAAACTGATGGTCTGTTTAAAGGATAATGTTGTTTCATCTGTTGCTATTACCTCTGATATATGGTCTAGAAAGGCTAAAGAAGATTATTTATCTGTTGTGGCTCATTTCATTAATGCTGATTGGCAATTAGAGAAAAGTGTACTTGGTTTAAGGTTGATTGATGTGTCACATAATGCTGAGAACATTGCTGAGCGTGTTGCATCTGTCCTTGCTGAGTATGGTATACTTAACAAGGTTGTTTCTATAACTTTGGATAATGCATCTGCAAATAAAAATGCTATGGATAAACTGAAATCTATACTTAAAGAATATTTGGGTTCTGATCTATTTTTGCATCAACGATGTGCTTGTCATATTATTAACCTGATTGTGAAAGAAGCACTGGCTGCTGTGAATCCTCTCATTGAGGATTTTAGAACAGCAATCTCTTTTATGAACTCCTCTAATCAAAGAATTGCTGCATACAAGAGTTATTGCATTGCTAGTGGTGTTAGACCTAGGAAGTTTAGATTAGACATGGATGTTAGATGGAACTCTACCTACCTAATGCTTAAGCACTTGCTGCCTCACAAGAGTACTTTCAGTACTTTCATTGAGGCCAATTACCCTAGAGGTTCAGGTAGTGGTTTCCTTTTGACTGATGATCACTGGGCTATGGCAAATAAAATCTTAGAATTTCTTGAACTGTTCTATGACTCAACTGTTGATTTGTCTGGTGTTTACTATCCTACTTCTCCACTTATAATTCATCATCTTGTTAAGATTGCTATACACCTGCATAGGTATCAACATGATGAACATCTAAGATATGTTATCCAACCTATGATTGACAAATACAATAAGTACTGGAAGAACATACCTGATCTTTATTCTATTGCATTCATATTGGATCCAAGAGCTAAAATTAAGGGATTTACCAAAGTGCTTAGGAGGTTACATTCTCTTTTTAATATTGACTACACTAATAAGTTGCTGGACACCAGAGTTCTTCTGTTTAAAATGTATAACAGGTATGATGTAATGTATGGCTCTAATAGGCTGAAAAGGGTTGTTCCTCCATCCCTGTCTGGTAAGAAAAGAATAGCTTGGACTAAAATTTATGATGATGAAGAGTTGGATGTTGGAGCTAGCTGTTCTTCCATCCCTTCTAGTCTTGATCATTCTAGGAGTGTTTCTGCCACTTCCTTGCTGCAGGCAGCAACTGCTAGTTCTAACTCTAGTGAACTTGCATCCTACCTGGACTGTGACACAGTAAGCCAGTTGGATGATGAGTTTGACATCATGCAGTGGTGGCATGAGCACAAGCTTACTTATTCAGTACTTTCTGTTCTTGCTAAAGATATTTTGACAGTGCCTGTGTCAACTATTTCTTCAGAGTCTACTTTTAACTTAACTGGCAGGATCATCGAGGAGTGGCGGCGGAGGCTGAACCCTGAAACTGTAGAAGCGCTTACCTGCATCAAGGATTGGGAGAATGCTGAGACAAGACTGCAGCACATGGTGGAGGACAAGGAGCTGGAAGAGGCCTTTGCTGATCTTTATCTTGATGTCGACTAGTTCACTTCCCATTTATGTAATGGTTCTGTAATAACTGAGACTTGGACTTATGGTGATGGATGTAATGAACAATTAATCTAGGAACTGGCTGTACTCTTTTCCTGTTTAGGGTTTCTCACAAGGGTGAGTTTTACCTAAACAGGTTTTTAATGAGGAGCCATTGCACAGCTTCTACTTAAATTAGTTTTAGTTTCAAAAGTTTGTGTTCTTTGTTGTGCTGTGTTTTGATCTGTTTTTGATCTTTTGTGAACTTAATCATTTTAGATATCTTTGAATTGCTGTGCTGAGTTCATTGAGAGGTTTTGCCAGTTTAGTGCCTGGGTCGGCATAGGCACGCTGAGCCTGGAGTCGGCATGGCACGACACGGCACGCTCTAGGAATGATAGTGCCGTGCCTGGGTCTGGAGTCGGGCACGGTGGCACGACAAGGCACGGCACGGTTCATCAGCCGTGCCTAGCGTGCTGTGCCGGGGCGGGCTAGTGCCGTGTAGTGCCATGCCGGCACGTTTGGAAAACTATAGAACTGCCCTTCACTATGCAGCAGCATCTGGGAAGACCAGAGTGGTCAAACTTTTACTGGTCAACAGCTTGCATGCTTACATTCCAGATGATGATGGTCTCTATCCTGTGCACTATGCTGCTATAGCTGGCAACTCAGAAATTATCCGCGAGATCATGGAGATATGCCCAAGCTGCGATGAGTTGGTTGACAAGAAACATAGAAGTATTTTGCATTGCGCCATTGAATTCAATAGGGCTAAGGTTGTGCTATACATCTGTAGGAACCCAAAGTTCGCGAGTGTAATAAATGCGGGTGACAGTGAAGGAAACACACCACTACATCTGGCTGTAAAGCATGGGCATTTATTTAACTTCTTCCTTCTTATGATGAATCTTAGGGTGAACCTTGGTATTATTGACCATAAGAGATTGACACCGGTAGGTGTTGCCTGGTATGAGAATACCCATAAATATTCATTCTCAGTGGTATGTCCCTACATCATTCACTTTCAACTTCTCTTTTTCTTTTTGGTCTCATAATATTATTTCCTTTTTATGCAGTTCATGAATATGTACATGGAATTGTCTTTATTACTCTGTGAAGCTTATTCGATTCCATCCAGGGTGGCTAGAAGTCTGAGTTATAATCATTGCTTGGAAGATGACAAGGAATCTAGCAGATACTCCGATATGTCCCAGAGCATGCTATGTCTCTCCGTGTTTATTGCAGCTGGTTCATTCGCTGCTGCTTTCACTCCACCTGGCAACTACATTATAAAAGATGAGAATGCGGCCATGGGACTGTTTGATGACGAGTCTCCTTTCCTGAGTTATGTTGACGCAAATAGCGTGTCATTTTGTCTCTCTGCAATTGCTACATGCCAGCTTATGCATGCCAGTCTAGCAACTACACCCATAAGGCAACGCCGCTATTACCTCCAGCTCTCTGCTGTCATGGTTTTAGGAGCAGTTTGTTTTATGCTTATAACATTTGCGAACTTTCGTACAGCTAGCATTGGACCCTCAAAAGAGCCGGAGAGAATGCCTTCTCTTTTAGGACTTGTTTGACCGGGCTCCCGGTAGCTCCGGCTCCGGCTGACACCCTACGACGAACACTGTAGCAGCAGAGCTGTTTTTCTCTCCCACCTTTTCCCTCTACTGTAGCGCGGTTACTGTTCACGGAGCCAGTGAAGCTCGAATTTCGGGCTCCTCCGGCTCCGGTTCTGACACGCTACAGTGTGTGAACAGTGTAGGAGCCGAAGCATGTTGGGGCCGTACAAACAGGTTCTTACTCCATCTTGGTAGTGAAAGAAGTGATTTTTGCTTTGTTTTGTCATTGTTTTCAATCCCACTATTTCTCTGGGTTCTACGGACGAGCAAACATCCCAGGCTCCGTAAATTAATAGCTAGTATTTTTATAACAACTATGGTCTATCGTTTGATCCCTGATGTTATAACAACTATGGTCTATCGTTTGATCCCTGATGTGATACCTTTTGTTAAAAGAGTTCAGCCTGGTAAACAAGAGTCTTGTAGCTGGCCTGGGTGTCATGATGCAGTTTTCCTACACCCTACTTGAGGTCCTTGGGAATCTGTTCTGAAACTGGCAGCGGAGTATTACATTGCATTTCTCAGCTGAAGCTGTAATTCTATCTCTGCCTCCTTGCTCTCGAGCTAGCTGTCAGGCACTCGTACAGGATTTAGTTTGATCTTTGTAATATAATTTGGTTTTCAAGATGAATCAGTGCTGCTTAGTGGTTTAATGGAGACTACAAGATTGTGCGTTTTTAATTGCAGCAAGATTGAGGCCAACTTTAATTATGATTGGTATGATTATGTGTGATAGTACTATAACCACTTCTGCCTGCACTAATAGTTACGTGATTATTTCTTTGCCTAAAGAAAAGCTAAAAAGCATGCAGTTAGGTTACAAACATTAGTTTGTTGGACGCAAAGAGCTAGCGCTTCCCAAGAGTTGGACTTAATTTAACTGAATTTGGCTTCTTTTCATGCATTTTTGTTTACTTGATAACCCCATTTCAGTGGATACGACAACTACAACTGCTGAGGGATTACATCAGTAGTACGTTCTTTAATTGAAACACAGTTCTGAACCAAGTTACAGAGATCATTGATACCATAGTTATTGATACTGAGAGTGTGTGTGTGAGACAGAGTCAGAGAGAGAGGGGGTAGCAACTAGCAAATTGCTATGGGCCCGGGCTGTATTTAACTCACCGTTTCCTTTGAACGGCAGGGCACCTAGGGAAGTTCGGCCCAGACCATGAATTTTGTATGGCCCATTTCCACCCAATTCACGCCATCGTGCCGCCCGGCTGTATTGTCCACAGGCCACAGCCCACTTCTCCTTCTCGTCCTTTTTTTTTTTTGGCTTGCTTGCTAGGATTGCTAGGATTCTGAGTCAGACGGCAATGGCGGCGGCGGCGACTCCCATGCCAGATTGTCTTGCGGCCGGCGAGCCTGACGACGACCCGCGCCGTATCTACCCCATCCTTGTTGCTGCGTCGACGCTGACCCCGGCTCCCTTGTTCCCGTTTTGGCGAGATGGGTCGCAGCGGCGGCGCGGCTAACTCCGCTTACCGCGACCTCTCGCGCCGGCGAGAAGCGACAAGGACAGGACCACCGGCGCCCTGCTTCCGTCGACCAGGCCGCCTAGGACCCCACCGCAAGGTACATGTCCTCTTGCCGATCCCTCCTTCACCCCCTTCGTTAGGTGATAGAAATGGATGGATCTGTGTATGTATGACAGTTCGAATTAGCTTCAGTAAAGTCTTTGACATGCATTGTGTTTTTGTGCATTTTTCTTTTTGGTTCAACACACCTCGCATTGACCCTTAATTTTTCCTGCCCTTTTGGGCTATTCAATGAAAGGGGCAACATAAGTCTCCGATTAAAAGAGCGACGAGCGACGTGCTATTTGCATTTTCATCTTCATCTTCGGATTTGTGGCCTCACCAAATGTACTGGAATGCAGCGGCTCTTGTAGAGGGAAGAGTTTTTGTTGGTAATCCAAAACTCTAGAGAGAAATGGGACAATAGACAAGCACACTCAGTATATAGATATTGCGCAACGGGACAATAGTTTCTTTGCATGTGTTTCTTGAATTTCCTACATATCCTGTAGGAAATTAAATATATTCTGTACATCATGCACAGTGAGCAAGCAAAACAAGCACACTGAGTAGCGGATTAGGGCCTCGGGCTGCCTGTGCTGCATCCCAAGTCCTAGAGAGAGAGAGAGAAAAAAAACACTGTACAGCTACTTATATAAAAAAAATGTAAAAAGATTACACCTACTTTGATTGAGTCAACCCCAGCCTCCCACTGAGCACGCTAGACAATTGTTAGTGTAACTTTGTTATCTGTCCCGATCAATGTTAATTGTTAATCAGGTGCAGGTGGTTCTTAAATCCTTCTTTCTAGTATACTACCAAAGTAGGAAGTTGCTAGGAAGATGGGCCTTCCTCTTTGTATATACATACAAATATAAACCACTGCACCTCGCTGTGTACATGTACTTGGCTGTGCCCACTACCCAGTTTAGGTCAGACCTAAACAACATTGCATCGATGCACAAGCCACACACAGTGAACCCCCAATTGCTCAAAGCTGTCTCCACTGGAGATGCAGACCTATTAGCACAAATCCTACACACGACAACAATAGCTGAAGAGAGCCGCTGCGCATGCCTAGAAGGCGTCACGGCAGAGGGAAGCTCTGCGCTCCATATCGCAGCCCGCCATGGGTACCTGAAGCCCGTCGAGATGATCTGTGATCAGGACTTGTCTCTCATCAAGGCAAGGAACAATCTGCTCGACACGCCTCTAATCTGCGCGGCAAGGGCTGGCCATGTGGATGTGGTCAATCACCTCATCGAGCATGCTTCCACCCAGAAAGAGACTGAGTATGTACTGAGGGCATGGAATTCCAGTGGGGCGACGGCAGTCCATGAGGCTGTTAGGAATGGCCATGCATCCGTCTTGGGGAAGCTCGTGTCGAGGGACGCAAGGCTTGCCGTGGCGGATGATGGGCAAGGTGTCTCCCCGCTCTACATGGCGGTTGTGTCCAACCGGGCTGACATGGTTGACATCTTGATACATGAATCTTGTGGAGGTAGTGTGAAATCGCCGGCGAGCTATGCTGGACCAGATGGAGTAACTGCACTGCATGCTGCGGTTTTTGCTAGCAACGGTATGATAACGTGGATTCTTTCCTACACATTTCATTAGCTACATGCGATATTAGTTTTGTGTTTATTATATATATTCTGATTTTTTGTGCTAACGCCATATACAAAAAAAAAAGATCGAGGTAGTACGAGATTGGCGTGGTATTTTCTTTTAGAAATAGAAAATGCATTTGTAGACTTGGGAGTGTTTGGTAATAACAGCATGTTTGGTAGACCTCTTCTTGTTTCTGATACTCTGTGCGTCGTCATTCTCTTAGAAAAGTGATTATGTGGCTCAAAGTGGTTCTCTACAATAAACTATACATAAGAAGTGATTTTGCGTGGCAAGTAAATGTAAATCAGGAGAAGTTCGTTTTATTTTTCAGCTCCCAGCCCTATATTATTTGAGAGAATTAGTATAGAATCATTTGTCTATAATATACTGTTTGTCAGAGCTCCTGTTTGCAACTTTGAGAGCTCTACCATACAGTTCTCAATTGTTAATTGTTCTCTTTTATTGTAGTGGTAATCTTTTGTTTTTTTAGCTCAAGAAATGTGCGAGTCCCTACAACGCTGGGAGCCAACACTCGTGCAAAAGGCTGACAGCTCTGGAAGAACTGCCCTGCACTATGCAGCGTCAGCTGGGAAGACCGGAGTAGTCAAAGTTTTACTGGTCAACAGCTTGCTTTGTTACATTCTGGATGATGATGGTCTGTATCCTGTTCACTATGCTGCTATAGCCGGCAACTCTGAAGTTATCCACGAGATCATGGAGATATGCCCGAGCTGCAATGAGTTGGTTGACAAGAAACATAGAAATATTTTGCATTGCGCCGTCGAATTGGGGAGGACTAAGGTGGTGTGGTACATCTGCAGGAACCCTAAGTTCACGAGTATAATGAATGTGGGCGACAGTGAAGGAAACACACCACTACATCTGGCTTTAAAGCATGGGCATTTATTTATCTTTTTCCTTCTTACGAAGAATCTTACGGTGAACCTTGGTATTATTAACCATAAGGGATTGACACCGCTAGGTGTTGCCCGGTATGAGAATACCCATATATATTCATTCTCAGCGGTATGTCCCTACATTATTCACTTTCAACTTCTCTTTTTCTTTTTGGTCTCATAATATTATTTCCTTTTTATGCAGTTCATGAATATGTACATGCAAATGTCTTTATCACTCTGTAAAGCTTGTTCCAGTCCATCGAACTTGGCTAGAAGTCTGAGATATAATCATTGCTTGGAAGACGATAAGGAATCTAGCACATACTCTGATATGTGCCAGAGCATGTTATCTCTCTCTGGGTGTCGGATACCAGAAAATGGGGTACCCCAAGCAAAGATCGAAAAACTGCTTAGACCCTAAGAACAGAACAAACGGAATAAACAAATGAGGTCTCGGCCGAAATCTCCGATTCGCCCGAGACCCCGTCGCCGAGCCCCAGCGGAAGCGAACGATTCTCCGACTCGCCCGAGACCGCCTCGCCGAGACCCCCTCGTCGAGGCCCCCTCGCCCGGGGCCTCGGAAGAAGTGCCGATTCTTCGATTCACGTGAGGCCGGCTCGGCACCAGCCCCGTGACCGCCTCTTCGACCTAACTGCTCTGGCCGAACGTCGCATCCAAGCGCCCAACCACTCCGACAGACGCACGATGGCACAGTACAGCGAAGTGACCGACTACACGTCAGTCGCGTCAACCTCCTGCCATCTGCGACGGCACAGAGCAGGGGTTACCGACCACTGTGCTGCCTAACTCCTGCACCAAGGACATCGCAACGTGGGGAGCCAGAACGGGTTCCTGTAGCCTCGGAATCAGCGGACCGACCGCTCCGTCTCGCCCGAGCCCCATCGACAGGGCCTCGGATTCACCGATCTTACTTCGCCTCGCCCGTCCGCCTCGCCCGAGACCCCCCCCGGTAGGGCCTCGGACGAATTGGCCGCGCTCCGCCTCGCTCGAGGCCGGACTTGTCCCGTAACCTCATCGCCTCCGCCTCAAAGATCTCTCTGGCAGGCTGTCGCATCCGATTAATGCGCTCAGCTGCACCCGCTACGTAAGCCACGATCGGCAGTGCGCTGCAACAGGAGCGACGGGACAACGGTCAGATCACCTTTTTTACCATCCCTTACTGACAATACAGGTACCGTATCCTGTAGGCGCACGTCTCGCACTATTCCGCCTGATGGCCGTCGAGCCTCTGCAATCCACCAAGTCAACAAATGCGCAGCATGTTACTTGCAGTGGAGACCATACCGATTAGACATCTACGGGAACTCCCACGACAACGCCATGCTGCTCCAGGAGTAAATACGTCATCGAATAGTCCTTGCTCCACGTGTAGCTCTCTTATGTACTCCTGGTTTCCTCCCTGCGGCTATAAAAGGAGACAGTCAGGACCGTTTCTGGGGACGGCGGATAGGGTCACGAATACTCGCACGAACAACAGGCCTCATTCTGTAATTCATATCACCTCCCCTCACAGAGACCTGGGACGAACTCTCTCTCTCGCCTAGCTTGTAACCCCCTACTACGAGCATCCCGGTGCAAGGAATACAAGAACATCTTCTCAGACTGGACGTAGGGCATCCATTGCCCGAACCAGTATAAACCTTTTGTCTCTTTGCATCACCATCCGGAATTGGGAGCACGCAGCACAAATTCACTAGTCGGTTAAGGACCCCCGGTTCCGAAACACCGACAGTTGGCGCGCCAGGTAGGGGCCTCTGCGTGTCAGCTTAGTCATCCCACCAGATTCCGGATGGCAGATCCCGTGTGATCGTTGTGTCTCGGGACGATCGTCTGGTTCGGGAGCCTAGAATTCATGTCTCTAGGGCACGAGTACGACATGGTACTCCTCTCACCCAGAGCGCCATCCATCGATGACGATGTCACGCACCGGCAGCCCACGCGCGGACGGTGCCCAGGCCGCCGCTCCCGTCAAGCTCGCCAAGCGCCGCATGGGCGAGTCCACCCTAACACCACGCAAGTACAGAACGCCGATCTGTGCTCCACCGGAATCCCATACCCCGCTGCTGGCATAGAGTCCCTGCACGGGCACCTGTCCGGCTTAAGCCTCGACAGGGGAAAAGGGCCGGTGGCGCACAGCGACGCCCCATCATCAAGCTCTGTCCCGCCTCCTCCCGAGGAGCCAGCTCTGGCGGAGCAGAGCCTGGCGGCAGCGCCATCCCCGTACCCTTTCGGGCTGACCAATGTCGCCGCCTCCTACGCCACCGCCCTCGTCTCCATTCATCAACGTCATGCCCATAACCCCATAGTCACAACTCCAATCCACCCCCACTCTGACTCCTCGGAGGAGGACGAGGCGTGGGTTGGAGCAGACTTCTCTGGGCTTCGTGACCCTGAGGCGATGCGCCGCTTCATGATCGTGAGCGACTACTGCTTCGGCTACTCCGATTCCGACGGCGAGGACGCTTACGACCCGACTCGTGAGTGTTTCCACATCAGACTCGGAATGCCGAGCACGGGCAACGATGGAGGAAGGGCAGCCAACGCCACACCACCACGCACGGGGTCCCCGCCAGCGGCGGCAGGTGTCCCCACCCTCGAGCAACTTCGACGCATAGACCTAGAGCAGCTCCGTGAGCTTCAAGCCAAGGTCGAGCAAGATCGACTCCTCTTGCAGCAGCTCTGAGCCACCCTCGAGCAAGAGCAGCGGGGGCGCGGCGATGGCGGAACGGCCCGGCTGAGGGCTCGCGACGTCAACCGCCGCATTAACGATGATGAGGGGGGCGAGCAACCCCCTGTCTTCAATCGCGCTAGCCAGAACGTCGCTGCGGCGGCGATACTAGTCCGAGCGATGCCCGAGCCCTCTACCACGGAGGGGCGACGGGTCCACGGCGAACTCCGGGGCCTTCTCGAGACTGCCACGGTGCAGTAGGCCGAAAGCTCCGCGTCTCGACGACGCGGGGACGCCTCGAAACTGCCCTCGGTGCACGACCACCTCAGGGCCCCCTCGGTGCACGACCGCCTCGACGACCAACGCGAGGCGCAAAACGGCCACCACGTGGACAGCAGACGACGGCGCCACGACCACGATGGGGCCGCCCGGGGCTACCAAGTGCACCGAGGCGGTCGCTATGACAGTAGGGAGGACCGCAGTCCTTCTCCCGGGCCGCCTGGTCCTAGAGCTTTCAGTAAGGCCATCCACAGTGCCCGCTTCCCGGCCCGGTTTTGTCAACCAGCGAGTCTCTCAAAGTACAGCGGCGAGACCAACCCCGAGCTATGGTTGGCTGACTACCGTCTGGCTTGTCAGCTAGGCGGTGCGGACGATGACCTGCTCGTCATCCGCAACCTCCCTATTCCTGACAGACTCAGCGCGAGCCTGGCTCGAACACCTTCCCCCTATGCAAATGCACGACTGGCGCGACTTGGTAAAGGTCTTCGTCGGGAATTTCCAGGGCACCTACGCGCGCCCCGGGAACTCCTAGGACCTCAAGAGTTGCCGCCAGAGGCCGGACGAGTCTCTCCGAGACTTCATCCGACGTTTCTCCAAGCAATGCACCGAGTTGCCAGCATCGGTGACTCAGAAATCGTCCAGGCATTCCTCTCCGGCACCACCTGTCGAGACCTGGTCCGAGAATTAGGCCGGAGCGTACCGACCACGGCGTCCGCACTCCTCGACATCGCCACCAGCTTCGCCTCTGGCGAAGAGGCCGTCGGGGCCATCTTCCCCAACAACGACTCCAAGGGGAAGAGGCGGGATGAGACCCCCGGGGCCTCGACGTCTCGCCCCCCCCCCAGAAAAAGAAGGGATGCCAGGGGAAACAGGAGGTTCTTGAGGCCGGGCTCGTCGCGGCCGTGGACCGCAAGAATCCCCGAGGCCCAGGGCTCTTCGACAACATGCTTAAAAGACCCTGCCCATACCATCAGGGCCCGGTAAAGCACACCCTCGAGGAGTGCACCATGCTCCGGCGATACTACGTCAAGCTCGGGCTCCCCAACGACGATGCCAAGAAGAGGGGCCAGGACGACGGAGACCACGACAAGGGCGACGGGTTCCCCGAGGTACACAATGCCTTCATGATCTTTGGTGGGCCCTCGACGTGCCTCATGGCGCGACAGCGAAAAAGGGAACGCCGAGAGGTCTTCTCGGTTAAGGTGGCCACTCCCCGGTACCTCGACTGGTCTCGGGAGGCGATCACCTTCGATCGGGATGACCACCCCGATCATGTCCCAAACCCCGGCCAGTACCCGCTCGTCGTTGGCCCGATCATCGGGAACACCCGACTCACCAAGGGTTGATGGACGGAGGCAGCGGCCTCAACATCTTGTACGCCAACACGCTGGAGCTCCTAGGGCTCGACCGGTCACAACTCCGAGGCGACGCCGCGCCCTTCCACGGCATCATGCCAGGGATGCGCGCGCACGACCCCTCGGGCGCATAGACTTACCCGTCTGCTTCGGCACCCCCTCCAACTACCGCAAGGAGACCCTCACCTTCGAGGTGGTGGGGTTCAAGGGGACTTATCACACCATCCTGGGACGGTCGTGCTACGCCAAGTTCATGGTGGTCCCGAACTACACCTACCTCAAGCTCAAGATGTCGGGCCCCAACGGTGTCATCACTATTGACTCCGCGTACGAGCATGCATACGACTACGACGTCGAGTGCATCGAGTACGCCGAGGCTATAGTGGAGTCCGAGGCCCTCATCGCCAACCTCGACCAGCTCGGCAGCGAGGTGCCTGATTCAAAGCGTCGTGCCGGGACGTTAGAGCCCGCGGAGGCCGTCAAGCTCGTCCTGGGTCGACCCCACTTGCTCAAACAACCGAGTGCTGAGGGTCAGCGCGACCCTCGGCAGCAAATAGGGGGTCGTGCTCGTCGACTTTCTTCGCGCGAACGCCGACATATTCGCGTGGAGTCCCTCGGACATGCCGGGCATACCAAGGGAGGTCGCCGAGCACGCCCTCGACATCCAGGCCGGCTTCAGACCGGTGAAGCAACGCCTGCGCCGATTCGACGAGGAGAAGCGCAGGGCCATCGGCGAGGAGGTACAGAAGCTTTTGGCGGCCGGATTCGTCAAGGAAGTGTCCCATCCGGAGTGGTTAGCTAATCCTGTATTAGTTAAGAAGAAAAATGGAAAATGGAGAATGTGTGTGGACTACACCGGTCTGAACAAAGCATGCCCAAAAGTCCC